GTCCTTCGACCTCTTCAATTGATGAAAATATTAAGAAAATAAAGGATATTGTGCTTGAAAATCGTTAGAAAAGTATTAGAGAGRTGGCAAGGGAGCACAAGATCTTTAGCAAGTTCGTTAAAATGAGTTTAGTGGTTGCGTTAGGTATGAAACGCGTTCTTGCTCGACTRGTCCAGATAAGGCTAAATTTTTTTYTWWARGGGYAARATTGTGACCGWATTTAAAGCTAAAAGCGCAATGCATACCAACAGATCTCGCTTAGTGTGATTTATTCTTGTTTCTCAAACTGAAAAATTGTGGCTCCGTGAAACCTGTTTTCGGTCGATTGAAGAGATAGAACAAAATTCACTGAATGAGCTGAATGCCATCCTAAAAACTGATTATGAAAATTGGAGTTCGAGGACTGGAAAAATCTTTGGTATCACTTTAAAGACGACAAAACAGTTATTGATAAATAAATAAAGATTGTGCGTTTTATTGAGAATTTCCCGGGAGAGTGAAAATCCGGGTGAYCCTCTGTCTGTCCGTTCGTCCGTAAGAGCAAGCAGTAACTTGAGCAGAAAGAGATATCATTGATATTTCATTGGGATATCTCAATGAAACTTGATATGCTCGTGCCTTGGCAAAAAAAAGGAAGAGATCCGCTTTCTAATAAGATTAATGTGCATATATCCTAAATCGCTAGAGCAACAACAATWCAGTTTTCTTGGTGCAAATATTATGAAAAACTCCTTCAGACAGTGTGAAAATGAATGAAATCGCTTTCCATATAACGGTGCTGTTAAAAAGTACCGAAAGCACGATATATGAATAAGTAAAAACATGAGTGACATTMAATTTTACCTCCGAGTTGTTRTGAGAGGCCTTTACAAGACCCGAGGTMAAAATTTGGCGCATCACACCGCCCGCTTTTGGGTGAGATCACATATCTCGGAACTCGACCGACCGATTTCGACTACATTCAGTACGTGGTAGTCTTCCCATATTCCTCCATATGTCACAGTGCGACAATGGGCGATATCGGACTAAAACCCATTTTTAGAAAAATTAAATTCCATTACAAACCTTCACTTTGCAGCACACAAATCAAGATTGAATAAACATATATAGATAGAATTTTGCTCAAATAGTGCATYGGAGATGTGACACTTTATGACTAAAAACTGCGTGAATAGAACCGTAACGGTTCAAGGCCCTGGGTACTCAATAAGTGGACCCAGTGCTTATAGCTAACTTATTACCGAAAATATCGGTCAATATGTGAGATATATGATTGAAATTTCCAGATAGTAGTATGTGTCACAAGTGGGTCGAATCGGKTATCTTTATATTGATACGAGTACCATAGTCTTGAAAGCAAAATATAATSTTGGTTTTGTTAAACGTTGGTCTAAATAATTTAGAGATCCTTATRTTACTAAAAAACTTTTTAAAATCTTGGTTAGAGCAATATTGGAATACGGCTCTGTTGTATGTGTTACCTAGTTACCAAATACCTACTTACAAGTTAGAGTCGGTACATAAACAATTTTTACTTCTCCCCTTAGAGAATTTCCGATGGGATTAAGTCTTCCTCCATACATTAGTCGTTTAAGACTTTTTAATCTRCCTACACTTTCGAGTCATAGATAAATTCTTGGTATTATATTCTTAGTAAAAACCCTGAATAGAACAGTTAGTAGTTCTTTTCACCAGTCCGAAGGTAATCTTAATATGCAAGTTCGCTTTTCGAGGCAGTTTAGACTTTTACAGTTCAAATGTGGTTGTGGTTCAAATTTACGACCTTAACGAACTATTCCGATGCATATGTAAAGATTTTAGTACTCATTTCTGCACATTTGATTTATAAGATTCTTTTTTCGAAATTAAAAAGACCATATTGCTTTCTCGCCATTAATATAAAGATTTTCGAACTTCCGGGTGATTTTATATTGATTATATCGGACGATATGTGAATTATCTTAACAAAATAGAGAGAGCGTATGTTACTAATAACGCTGTTTTTTTGTGCTTAGAATGAATCTTTCCCTAGACTACACAAAACTAACAAACCTTATGTATCTGAAGGTATTACCCGAGCTTTAATCCTTGCCAGTTGCAATAGTATAAAATGTTTGGTTATTTAACTTTTTTTTATACATTTTTATTTAAAATTTATTTCAACTATTTATTAATATCGTGTTTATTTAAATTTTATTTCTTTTTGAGATGTTTCATATATTAAGTTTATTGTAAATTATTTAATAATAAATTTTAATTATTTCTCTTTTTATTCATTTTATTACCGTAATTATGTTTTTACTATTGCAATTATTTTTATAATATCATAACTTCTTTGATTTAAAACATTTGTCTGTAGCTAATGTGGGCGCAAGTTCGGAACGGTTTGGTTATCGGCAGCCAAAGACTATACCCGTATTAATGCTCTGCAGATGCATACACATTTGTATATAATATAATACAGTTTTTATTATAACTCATTTGCATGTTTTTATTGTTGTTTTACAAGTACGCGCTAAGTACTTGGCTCGAATGCGTAAGATGTATAATTTTTTTCTTTGCTTATAATTCAAAGTTTAATAATGGAAAAAAGTCAAAGCCAACACAGGGGTAGCAGTAGAAGAGAAGAGCGCATAAGACGTTCATATACACATATACATATATATATATATTTAAAAATAGYAATAAGTATCATAACGGAATTGAAAAAATCGAAATTTGCTTCCTAATTAGCATTAGTCTKATACGATAAATCAACTAAAACTTCGCACTTACCCATGTCATCGATGAGGGGCGCCATGCGCAACGTCACGCCGACCAACATGAGGCACATGACCAGCAGCAGACACGCTGTCACAACGATTGTGCAGCGCGCCCGCTGCGACAGGTCATCGGGATCGACSACCTTTGCGCCAATAAATGAAGGCAGGTAAAGTAGAAGAGAGTAAGGAGAGAGAAAAGAGAAGAAAAATGCAAAGTTTTCATTTCAGTTTTTATTTTTTTTTATATTTTTTTTAATTTTTTATTTCCCTATTATTATTTCTATACCTTGACAATGCGCGTTTCCAGATCCTGCACGAGGATTTTTGGTTTTTTATGTCGACGTCGCTTTTTGTGGCGATGATGGCTGAAAAAAAAGGATAAATATAGTTTATACATATACTATTTTAGTAAAGCTTTTCATAAAATAAACCATTAATTTTTTTTTTTTTTTTTTTTTTTTTTTTTTTTTTTTTTTTTTTTTTTTTTTTTTTTTTTTTTTTTTTTTNTCCGTTCTTGTTATTTATTAATGACAAATCATCTGTTGTTAAGTTTTCAAACGTTTTATTATATGCTGACCATGTAAAACTTTTTAAATCATTCACCTCGAATAGCGAAAGATGTCAGTTGCAAGCAGACTTTTACAACCTAGCTTCTTGGTGTGTTAGATATGACATTCCATTGAACCTTAAAAAATGTAAAACGATGTGCTTTCTACGTAGTTCTGTAGACCCTACTTCATACGTAATACAAAACTTACGGTTGGAGCAAGTATGCAGTTTTGTTGACTTGGGAGTAACTATGGACCGAAAACTCAATTTTAATCTTCACACATCTTCCATGGTTTTTAAAGCTAAAGGTGCTTTTGGTTTTGTTAAACGTCGGTCTAAAGAATTTAGAAATCCGCTTACCACGAAAATTCTTTTTACATCTTTGGTGAGGCCTATATTAGAGTATGCTTCCGTGGTATGGAACCCTTGTTATCAAGTTCATTCTGAGAARMKAGAGTCCGTTCAAAAACAATTTTTACTTTTTGCCTTAAATCATTTGCATTGGGATTTCAGTTTACATCTTCCCCTTTCCACTAACCGTTTAAAACTTATAAATCCCTACACTTGCTAGTCGTAGGGAAATGCTTGGTATAATATTTCTTGTAAAACTCATCAATTGGTCAGTCTGTAGCCCATCTCTCTAGTCTGATATTAATTTTAACATYCCCGCTCGCACTACCAGGCAATTTAGACCTTTACTTTTAAAATTTTCTAGAACAAATTTCGAGTTAAACGAACAGATTCACTCTTTACCATTAAAAAAATTATTTTATCTACTCTTAACAAGTRACATTTRAAAATTATAAACTTTAATCTAATTCTTAATTTTGGCCGTTGAAATTTGTGTTTCTGTAGCTGAGCAGCTTAAGATCGCAACGCTTAAAACTCCCTTGCCTTATAAGACTTGGCTAATTCCGCTCGTTCGCGGATTGCGCCCCTCGCGTCGGTTGGGCGGGAGGAKGGTAGTCGTTGGGTATTATTATTATAGAGGTGGAGTTTTACATAATATATGTAACTAGGTCTTAAATCTATTCATAAACTTACATTATAACTAAATGCCCTAAAATCTTCAAACAAAAAATATCTGCAAACTATCAATACTAAAGATTGAATCTGAACTCATCAATTCATACCATAATGAGTAGAAATTTTACTCGAGTTTTAAAACGCATCAACATCCATATGTCTTCGATAAGATTCAAAACCATTTTTTGGTTTCCCAATGTTTAATCTTTTACGGCAAATTAATACCGAAACTATCCAACAGCCTCKTATAATACTGCTTCAACTCACATCACCATAACCCTATTTTATTATAGCCCTGCGTTTTCTACAACATCTCCATTGACTACCATATTTTTAAACTCCATTTTATGCCAATTTTTGGGCTTCTTCACGAACCTCCAACGAATAAAAGTCAATAATTATGTTTTCTTTCTTCGTTTAATACGATGTCTCTTGAAACTTCCGAATCTCTAGCTAATCGTACTCCCTGCGCTCTTTAAGTTTTCAACTAAATACCAGTTTTGGTAGGTGATGRGGAAGAAACTTAGTAACCTATGCCCCATCATTGGGGTATTATATTAACATTATAATTTATGGTGACATTCCATTATCCCAAACCCATTCAAATACCCGCCCCTATTGGCAAAAAACTGGTATAGTCGATTTTCACAGGCTTCTCTTGAGGCGAATTTTTCAACAGCAAAATCATTCGCCATAGACAGAACCAAGTAGTAATAATTTGTTGCCAGATCCGGAGTATAAGCTCCCGGAACTGCTGACAAGTCAAAATCGATGTGGAGGGCCTGATGTCGTTCTGCAGGAACACAAGTTCAAGCAATTAGGACCGAAGAGACCACTTATAAGTGATTGCTTTCTTCGGACGGTSTAACCTCTGGGAGTACAGGTCCGAATTACGAAGAGGGACAACTTATRGTGGGTGATTCCCTGTCAATTCCACTTTTYCTGACYGTCAATCCCGGCTTGAACACCGTTTACGCCAGCTCACCGCTATTCGAATATAGACTTTTCCATTTAATGTTGACGTAAGTTAACCAATTTTGATCTCCAGTAACCGTCCTCTTGAGATAGACTAGACAGCTAGGAATTCACAGTGCTCAAACTGGTGATCAATCAAAACCAAAATATGCAATGCTTTATATTACAGCAGAAGGATATGGAAGAGGGAAGGTACWCCTCATCCAACAAATAAAGGCCTTAAGTAAAAAGACATCACTACTTATTCATCCGAAGAACAACAAAAGAGATAAACTTCGCAAAGAACTTTAAAATTATCCTCGGCAGCTGGGACGAATGGAGTAACCTCATGCTTAAGCCACTGCTAAAAGATGGTACGATCAAGTGGTCCACTGAAAGCTCGAAAACGTCGGTAGGCATTGGTACCGGTATCACCATGCACCAACCTTTCCATACCTATGGGATATTTTCCGAGTATTCCCTTGCAGCAGTTTTTTCAATAAATCGGTGTGTAGAAATATTGAAAATAATACTACTACATACTCAGCGATAGACAAGCGGCACTTAAAGCGATCTCAGCTTACGATATTTCATTGCTTTTGGTACAAGAATACTTAGAAGGCTGAATAGCCTAGCAGTTTGCAACCGCGTGCACCTCAACTGAAAACCGGAAAGTAAAGAGCACTGGCTTTTATTTTGCACACCAGCCTGTAGACCTATATATTCAAATAGGGAACACATCGCGATAGCATTCAACAGGATCCAGGTATTTATCAGAGAGACCAAAACTGTTCAAGCCTCTAGGTGCCGAATATGTGGACCTCAGTGTCTATAGTCGACTTTTAACCGAAAATAGCTGTCAAYGTATGGGATATCTATTTTAAGTTCAGATAGAACCCTTTCCTCGCCATATTAACTCTGTGTATCGAAAATAGGTTGAATCGGGTGGTTACATTCCTGAGCCCCTATATACCTATACTTTACTCATATAATTAGTAATTGAATGGGAARTACATTAGTGAAACGGAATGACAATTTTTTTAGTATGTGGCACGGTAATAGTTGATAGATAAAATCGAGTCCGTTTTTCATCTGAAAGCCATGGCTTTTATTCCTCAAAGTTGCTAGAGTATAAAATCTTCGGTTGTACTCAAAATTAYCGCTTCCTTACTTGTTTTTAATTACTATTGAGACCTTATTTTCCCTCCATTACWTATTGTATAATATATTTTTATATAAGAAAACTTCGAAAGTATTGAACAATTAGCGTTAATATGATCTGAAATAATTGTTTGATTCACCCTAAAGCATTCAAACAATACGCTCGTCCATAACAAAGCAGTACGCAGAGCGCAGAGCGAATTTTCACTAAATTACCCATTAATATGAATCGTGAACAGTTCAATTCGCATTCGATAGTTGTGCGCTCACATATTTRTAAATAATGCGAGTGCCGCAAGCGCACACGAGCGCGAAAAGTGCAGTTTTGTTCAAATACAGGGTGGTCATGATGCAYTTTTTGTATTTTTACACAATTTTTGTAATTTTTAAAAGCGAAGATAGGTGGGAACAATTTTTTAGAAGGTCAAAACTGAACATTTTAACGACTTTTCGAAAACGTTGGGACTCATTTTTTTTTTTTTTTTTTTTTTTTTAAAAAAATTCTTGTTTCAGTGTCCCAGTTATCCATTTT